AATATTTACCAAAACCGCTTTATGGCCTTTTGCCTCTATGTATGTCGATGAGTTCTTGAATTTCCTACGATTGAATTTCTTCCTCATACGTTTGTTTAGTCAATTTACGATTTTTCAACCACGTTGGTCTTGCCCACCATAACTCGTCGCTTTCGAGTTTATCACGGCTAACACCGCAAGAAACTAAATCGGATGAATTTTCCTTGCCGCTCACGTGATCCTACTGAGTTCAAGGGAATGATAATTGAATTTCGCTGACGTGGTTCGAAACAAAGGTTTCCCATCGAAATGCTTCTTTAACAATCCACGCTAGAACAACCATGGAATCCGCTCATGCTCGAATGTCCGCGAACTCGATATTTAATGCTTTCTTGAAGACAGAATTCAAGTCTAGGTAGAGTTATTTTTTCAACTGGAGCAAAGCATGATTTCGAACATAGCAACCTTGCTTTCCTATTACCTCTGCATCTTTGGACTGAATATACAGACGCACAGGGTAGGCTGTTTCTGAAACATCGCAAAATCGGTGAATTTATCGTCGAGTCGGATCCTTGAGCTGTAGAATTCTTCGTGGTACTCGGATAGTTCCCACCGTATGAACGTCCCTGACTTACAAGGAAACCCCCCCAACCCGACCCCACCGATTTCAATAATTTTTTGATATGTTGTAGTACTCGACAAAATAAGAGACACGTATTTTTTTTTGTGTGCTGACATCCACTTTAAAGGGGTGAAAACGACCCCTGAAATTCACCCCCGAAAATCGTTTTTTCATCATATCTCGACTTCTAATTAATATTTTTTAATAAAACCAAGTGGAAAATATTTGTCATAAGAAGTCGAAGATATGAGGTTTGTTAATGACCCAAGGGGTTGCAACCCTTATTTTATATTTTGAAAAAACTATATTTTTTATGCTCTTTTTCTGCATAAAAACCGGGGTATGCGCTCAAAAAAATAAAGAAAAGCGTTTCCGTTAACTCCATCAAATATTTCAGTTGGGGTGTTTCAGGATTTTTCAAAGGGATAAAAACCACCCCTAAATTTTACCCCCGAAAATTGTTTTTTATCATATGTCAGATTCTAATTGATATTTTTTAATAAAACCAAGTGGAAAATATTTGTCATAAGAAGTCGAAGATATGAGGTTTGTTAATTCCATTCATTGTACAACTCCGGTGGAAATAAACTATCCCATTCGAAGTCGTGAGACCAAGTTTCCTGCATTATCGTAAGCTTCGCTCTGATGATAATAGGCTCGATGAATCCAAGAAGGTCAAAACGTTTGGATATTGCTGATAAGATCTTTCGCTTCGTGTCCAACCTCGATTTCAATTGAAAACTGGAACTCATTTTTCGATGGCAACCATTGTAGGCTCAGAGTTTTCAGAGTCGCCTTCATCGATGGTTAACGGTGAATTCTCGTCTCTCGATTGTCATATGCTCGCAACGATTTCTTCATGGTTTGAACTCCAGTTGTGCATTTCAAATCCTCCTCGTCGCAGTAACTGTGTTAGCTGCTCACACAGATCTTTCGCTTCTTCTTTGATACTGTTCGCGCTCGTAAGAACATCGTCTACATAGAAATCTTGAAGAACAACGTCAGCCGCTGCTGGGAAACTGTTTTCTTCATCTATCGGTAATAGTCGAGTCTTCTGATCGCTAAATACGGTGCACAAGCTTGGCCTCGACTCGTCGACCGAGAATCTCCAAAGGATTATCTGGAAATCACAATTGCGCGGGTTCATAAAAACCTTTTGGTACGTACGTCTTTTGTACATCCACCGTGAGAGCTACTTTGTGCAATCTAGATCTCAACGGAATCTCTAACAAATTATCTTGCATCGTCGAACCAGCCAGGAGAATATCGTTCAAAGATTTTCCAGAACTAGTCTTCGCGGATGCGTCCAATACAACTCGCAATTTAGTTGTCGTGCTTGTCTCACGAGTTGGTGACAAACACCATGTTATTGCGTATACAACGGTTTGTCTAGTCGCGAGCTCATTAGAGAGTACCAGGGATATGTGTCCGAGCTCGATGTAGTATCATATGAATTCCGCATAACGCTTTGGCAATATATCATTGCCTTTGAATCACCGTTCGTGTGATAACAATCGTCTGTCCATTATTTGCCGAGATTCCACCAACTGGCTTTTTAAGGGAGTGTTCTGTTTTTCAAGGTCCAAAAAAAGCTTTTTCTTGCTCCGTAAGCCGAAAGTACCGTCTTCCCGACCGCATTTGAGTCCGGGAAGAGCCACTTTTGTGGCCTGCTTGCCTACATGTAAACAAATGCAAACAAGTGAATGTTCAATCATAAACACTAAGCGCCTATGTTTTTACTCAACTCTTCATAACCGTAAATTTGTAATGTCAGTTGAATAATGAAAAACGGGAAGACGGTACTTTTGGCTTAGGGAGCAAGAAAAATAGTATACGACCTATGGCCAAAAAGTTAAATGCCCTGGCGTATGTGATATAAAGGCCGAGGCGAAGCCGATGCTTTAATCCAACTTTCTGGCCTAGGGTCGTAATATACTATTTTTCGGAAATTTTTTTGAAAGGGAAAGAAACAACTGAGCTTTGTAAACTTTTAGGTATATTTAAACATTCATTTCAAGAGTAAAAAAATTTTTTTTCCTCATAAAATTATAAAATACGACGGATTTATCACCTGACGATTCCTGGAGCGCCTTGTCACTGCAGTCTCCCATTCACGGGAAAGATTCAACTCGTAATTCTTGTCAGAAATGATAAAATCAAAATGTTTTTAATTCTCATATATTTTTCTTCTGGATCAACTAAAAAAAGGCAGAAAAAAGCGCTAAACTATAAATTTCTTCAGTTTGAAAAGAAAAATGTCATTTAAAAAAAATTGACTTTAACGTGCTATAAAAACTATTTAAACAGACTTTATTAAAAATCTTTTTAACTCACCTAGAAAATAATTTAATATTAAAGAGAATAAATTTTGGTTTGGTTCAACAGGTCACATAGTTTTTTACTATCACGCCAGCCAATTTTAAAAAATCGTAAAAATGAAAACTGGAGAAAACGTGCTTTAAAGTTTTCAATAGGAGAAAATATGAATTATTGATTACTTATACCAATGAATTACTAGTCAACTATTCCTGCTCCGTATAGTAGTATTTCTGCTTGTTCAAATAGGCAAAAATATCAATTTTTTGGACCTTATAAAGCAAGACAATCCCTTAAGTCGCGAAATGCAGACGAACCACAAATCGTCCAAAGCTCTGGCACGTTACAGTTTCGAACAATTCCTCGCATTTTTGTTCGTTCTTAGACCTTGCTTGGGTCGTGATAACAAGGATCAGCGAGCTTAATTGTGCTAATTCGCTTGAATCGAACTTAAAAGATGGCAAATTGTTTGTAATCGCGATACAACTAGTTGTAAGAAATTAACGTTGATGCGCAAACTGGAATATCTCGAGGAGCCTACGACGTGACAATCTTGCGTGACTTGACTTTTTATTTCGTTTAAACCAACGATTTGTTCGTTAATTTTGCCGATGCGCAATCTTAGTTTATATGCGTCACGACGATAATAAAATTTGCTTCGCTCGCGCTGTCTAATAACACGCATATAGGGAACGGTATCCCGTTCGCATGATTTGCATTTACTAACGCTGTGTACATACATGAGAACGCGTTTGATTCGAGTTATAGATTGGTACATCGTTGTTACATTCTTGCTTAATTCTTCGGCTTCTTTTGGCCCGCTTGGGGTTTAATTTGATGATGGCGTATTTGTTATAAACATATCTGCTGGTCGATCAGTGTCTAACCGATTAACCGTAGCATGAGCACGGTCCCATTATTTGTTATTTTTTATCATTTTTATGAATAATTAAAGAACGTTTTTAACACATTCAGTAAATTATAGGCAATAATGATTAGTACTAAAAGAAATTGATTTTTTGAAAATGCTGCAAGTACGTAACCTCTCAAGGAATATTTAAAACGTTATCGACTGCAATGGATTTAAATTGCAGTTAATCGATATGTACAATTTCCGATTGATAATAATAAAATTGACAACAAATTGTTAATGTTTCGAAAAAAATAGCCCACGAAATTGCATAAAATTGCAGTGTATCATCGTTTCCGACGTCACCCTATGTCCATCACTCCCCTATGCATTATTTATTCTAATTAGTTGTTTTCATTTCCTCCACATTATTCTCAAGAGTGTTCATAAATCTGGGCTACACATCGAATGGTGTTTGCTCTGGCAACAAAACTTACATTTCCTACAGCCCATAAATTGCCTTCATGAATGATCGAATGAGTTCGATAGAAGCGCATAAAGGCAACCCAAAGCCCATGAATTGAATTTCTTGTTTACTGGTGGAAACACGCAAACTCTCTGGACACACAAGACTCCTTTGTGTTTATTCTTCTCAGTTCTTGAATCTCTTCCTAGACGCTCGTGAATTTTCCCAGATAAACGAAACAAAGTTTCCAATCTATTTCCTTCTGCCCATTGTGCTATCTTTTGCTAGAAAGCTTGCAAAACTGATAATATCGGTACCGCCATGTTCCTAATGTAAACAAAGTCATATGTGTAGTTCAATACCTATTGCAATATTGTGTTATTTTCATAGAAATAATTTTCGAAATAAAAAATGTTAGTGAAAGGATCTTAAATCGGTTAATGAAATAAAACAACTTCTTTGCAATATCTGTGATTTTGAAATAATAATATGCAATATATGCCTCTATAATGACACTTGAGATAACACCATCATGTGTATTTAGGTTCTTGATGACGATCATTCATTGAAGTACGACACTCTAGACTTAATGTGTTCTGCGTAAAAGTGCTATTAGTAAATTTTTAACATTTTTTTTGGTGAAGTAAATATTGCTTAAGACATCCGAAACATTGTATATATTAAATAATTACTTGAGTCCTATAACACTTTTCATATAGCCAATCTTTCAAAAGTTCAACCATTGTTCTTTTTCTTGTTGTAGTTTAACTTCGTTGGAAAGCTCTTGGGTCCGAAGGGCAATTCCCTCAAGCGGTTACAGGAAGACACTATGTGTAAAATGGCTGTACTGGGCCGCGGTTCTATGAAGGATCGGTTGAAGGTAAGCGTAAATTCAATCATAATACACATACATTGCATCTATGCAATAGAGAATACTTTACTTTCTTTCTTTACCAATATAAAGCAGATTTATGAATAATGAAGTATAACTTGGCATGGATATATTGATTACTTTAAAAATAACATAACCTCTAATGGAAGAAGCTATTTCAGTAGACCTTTTATTGAACTGAAGATTGTAAATCGATATGAAACAGACATGACTATTAAATTACACACAGAATAAGATAAACAATATTGGTGAATTACTTTGCTATCGTCAAACAGTGAATAGCATTTAGACACTCTAATAGTTTTAAAAATTATACCTTCTGTAATTTTAAATGAAGTATTTTTACATGATTTATTAAAACTAACATTTAAATTTTATCCATAATTTTTGAAGACCAGATTTTACACATTATTCTGGCAAATAATCAAATTTCCAAAAATAATTATTTGTTAATTGTATTATAGCCGCCGCTCTATATCTTCACAAGAGGTATCTCTCAATATTATTAGAAGAAAATCAATAAGTCGCGTTCGCGTGACTTTCGCAATACAACAACATTCCTAAAGTCAACACCTCCGCAAATAGGATTACTATACAACCGAAAACTCTTTGCTTAAACATGTTAGATCTACTTGTATGCTTTAAATCTTTGTGAATCCTTTTCATCACAATGCTCCATACCCTTACTGGAAAGTTCTCCTTTTTGAGAGAAAATATTTTTATTGAGTGTCTCTTTCAGAAATATTTTCAATAATATAGTGTAACAATGAAAGCATAGTGTTAGGTGGGCTAAGACATAATATGATTATCTCACCTGCAATTATTTTTATACCCATAAAAATAGGCCACCCGGCCTATCTTATTCCACCTTGTTTGTTTTACCCCATCTGCCCCTACTTTAAATATTTTCCTGGACATGTATCGCAACTTATTCTACAATTTCGTAAAACAGCTACCGAATACGACCCCGCGTTGGTCGCCAAATTTGTGACCTAATTTCAATCTTGACAAAAATTGTACGCTCTCGAAAATAGAAGTTTTCGCAAAGCTGGACATCTCTTTTCTCATTGTCCTTAAAACAGACAAACCGCAAAGTATCCTAAAACGGGAGATGTTGGGTGCAAAGTACTCCTTATGCAGATACTATGGCTGTGGAACACTCGCTTGTAATGTTGAAACATCTAAATACAGTTAGACTAGTCACTTATATCCTACAATCTCGAAATTTTAAAAAAATCTAAAACTAACCTAAACCTAAATCTTTCTTGGTATTCGGAGGGAGACACCATCAGATCAGAAACCCTCCTACACTGCCTACACGCTAGATCCGTATCATAAAACTAAATCTAATTTTAAAATTATTTACATAATTCAATAAACTAAACGTAAAGTGCTACCCAGCTACTGTCAGCTGGGAGAGTGTCATTGTGTATGTATCTACAAGTGTAAAGTAGGTTCAGAGAAGAAGATAGTGAGATCAGGAAAATATAGTTATTGCATGAGATGCAGTGATCGCTCTGAAGGTGTACTAACGAATCAAAGAGAATTACAAGAAAGGATAGTGTCAGAAATACCAGAGTAAGCTAGACGTAAATAGAGAACTAAACCATTTTTACAAAAGATCTTAATACTAATTGTACAAAGCTGAATGAAAAGCAGAAGCGACACAAAAACAATCATAATACTATAGAAAAACGGGGAGTATTATGGGCAAGGGAGGATATCCACAGGGTATAGATTGTAAAATCGTTGTATAAGACAAAAGTTAGCTATTTCAGACGAATCATGCAATTAAAAATTGTTTCATGGTTCAAGTGTAATGCTCATTGGTTCACTAAATGCTGATACCGGGACGATGCAACATTGGGGTTTTTAGGGGGCTAACGAGATGGCAGCTCAGTGGGGTCCGCGGGTCTAGGAACTCGCTGTTTCAGACGGCACGACGAGGAAAAGCTTCTCCGACTTCCGGTATTCTGTAAAGTGATGAAGATCCATGAAATAACCCAAATGGGGCTAATGAGTAAGTAGAGAAGACTCATACCGGATACTTCATTATCTTCTGTGTGGCCTGTTCAATGCGCTGCGACAAGGTTCATTAGGCGAAGCGAATGACGTAATCTTGAAATCTCTAAAATGTCCAAAAATGTCCAAAAGTTCTTCAAGAAGACTCTAGTAGCGATGCAAAATAGTTCAGTTTCCGATGGCTATATGGGTCGGGGGTTGGGTGCGCGAGGCAAATGAAAGAGAAAAAGGAAAAGAAAGCCACAAAAGAAAAGAGATAATATCGAAATCCACCACGAATCCAGACAGTCGTTGCGGAAGTCCAACTAGCTCAGCTCTTGAAAGGTTCTGGAAAGGGACAGGGGTAGGTGGAGAAGCAGAATGAGAAATGTTTACAGCAAAGAAAGTTTATTGCACCTGGAAATTCGTCAAATGAAGAAATAAGTGATTACAGAAAACAAATCGTTGTGCACTTACGATGCAAGTCAATTAAGGTCATAAATCCTAATATTGTCCGACACTGTAGAAAGCGTGAACTCCCACACCTAAAATTATTGTGGTGAAGGTGGTTAGTTAAAACAATTAGAGATAAACTAAAGACAGGTTAATTTATTCACAAAAATTTGCAAGAGTGAGTTGATCTCTGGAGAGACATTGAGAACAAGTTGCAAGAGGGTGTTGTCGATGAAATCCGATGCTTACTCCATGAAGTGAACTTTTTGACCACTCTTCATAACTGGTGACGAGAACTTCCTCTAGAAACGGGGGCACCGTGCCGCGTAAGAGAAAGAGAGAGAAATATTACAAGTTAGTTAAGATGAATATCTAAGGAAAGGTAAGTAATCCAATTGCCAAATAGTAGTCCTTGTCCCGGACGCTAAGATAAGCATTAACACTAATGCAGTGGTCACATTGACACAATCACTGAGTTCTGTAGCGGTTGGTATTGTCTACTCGGGCCTAAGGCGAGGAAGACAAGATAAGTCCTATAAGGCATCTTGACTCTACATAATTCGTTCGCACTTAGTTCCACTAAGACTCAAAATTTAAATAAAAGAAAAGGTGTTGGAATGTTTAAGATGAGGCGCCTAAGTAGATTAGCTGACCTTACGGCGTATCTAAGCTCGGAGAACGTCGCGGACCTAGAGAAGGGGTGTTAGAATGTCGATTTTGCGCATTCCGGAACGTCGGACTGTCGGGGATTGCTCTTAGTTCTCGCGGTTTTGCCGCGTTACCGGCACATACCTCAGAGTTTACAATCCTGAAGTTCTCTGGTTTATGCCAAACTGGACAAGCTCTCTCTCTCTCCTACTCATTGATGATATTAGTGGGAACATTCCACATGCGAATTGTTCCCATGAACTTACTGCGCTATGATTATTGATATCTTATTTCTAACTTATATTATGGAAGAGCTAGATGTTCGTAAGTATTGATTACAGTTGCAAGTTGATTTCACGAAAAAGAATAGGACAGGGAAATTTGGTGGAAATGATGGGGGCGTAGTTGCGTCGGACGTAACAGTACCACTGTGACAGAATTGTCGTCAGGACGCTAGCTGCGCGGAACTTTCAATTAGTCACAATCTCGCTGCTGTAGTTGGGGTGTCCAATGGCCTCTAATGCTGGTGAGGTCGACCCTGTCCTCGACGATAGCGACTGGGATCCTATCGTATTCGGTAACCTGGTTGCGTCTACCTTCTGTGGCAAGCCAGTAACGGTTTCTCCACTCTGAGGCCCGCTGATACTCCAGCAAAGAAATTCCATGAAATTCCGGACTCTCTCATCTTCGGTACCAGCCGTTAAAATGCAGCCCTTTGCATGAGCCTCCTTACTTCGTTTTTAACAGCTCTAATATAGGGTGGAAGGAGGTAGTGCTTAAAGTGTTGATTATTGAATGCCATCGCTTTCATTGCTGTTTTTTGATGTTATATCAGGAACACTGTTGACTGTTATACCTCATTAAAAAGCTGAAGAATCGCAGTTTAAAGTTACCCTACGGGAGGGAAAAATTAAAATTCGAATAAGTGCCGTCATTTATTAAATTTTGGTACAGAGAACTTATTTATACACCTAATAATTGTATTATTGTTTTAAGTATTTCTTTACTTACACACGTAACGTTCATAATACTACCATAGCAAGGTTTTATCATATTCTAATGATGAACATATTATTTTGATTAAATTTCATTCGGATCCTTTGAGCTACAGATATACAGAAAGGATGTACTATTCGAACAATCGTGATGGACAGGATTTCCTGTCACTTTCGAAAGTATAAGTCTAAAAAGTTTTTCCTTTTTTATACTATTCACATGTATTATAAGCGATAAGGAAACATTTTTTTTACTAAAAATAAAACTTATAACAAGCATTTACCAAACATATGAGTTTATTAAGGTAACGAAAATAAAAAAATTGCTTACTCATGTTTTACGCTTAGTGCCAAGTAGAAACTGATTTGATCTGGAAAATAAACCACAAAACTCTATAGCCACTCAGTAAACATTTTCCTGTACAGATCAATTATATAATTACTTACTTTTTATATGTCTGTAAAATTATTTATGAATTTATTAACAAAATAGATGCTATGTAATGCTCCCTGAATCATGTACATTACCAAGGAAAGTCTTTTTTCTTGACACTGCTGAATCGTAATACATTATTGTGATAACTGCATTACTATAGACTTCACAAAATTCCTTATAATTCTGTGCGAAATTTATCTCAAGTTAAAATAAATGAAGCAGCAATTAAATGAAGTAGAAGTGAGAGATATATCTACAGCAGTGGAAGATAAATATGAATGGATAACTCCATATCTGTCTTTAGAAACCTTTAGTAAGATAACGGAATTCGAAACTATAATAGCCTCTATGGACAGAAGATTATTTGTAAGCAAAATGTGAAACAGAATTCTTCTATTATTGATTTTAAAGAACATGATGGAACAACTTTTATAATTAAATAAGATCATTCCTTT